TACCTTCGAAAAATCGCGTTCTAACGTAGCGGAATCTATTCGGGACGTCCAGAAGGGGCCCCAGCTCGATTCGCGTGAGAATACGCGGCACGGTTTCGGAGGAGATACGGAAAACGACACTTCGGCTCTTTCTACTATTATATAGTAGATATTACATACTACATAGTGTAGTGAGAGTAAGTGAGTGTTTTATAATGGTAATATACGATGAATTGGGTCCGTTTAAAAATACTATAAAAATTTATATCATAAACAATGATATTGTTTATTATTACTATACGTAAAACGGTGGATAATGTTCACTTAGACACGCGCAGTAGAAGGCAGTGTTTGCTATCGAGCTTAATTATTGAATGTGTACATACATTAACATATTATACTTACATGTCATTATACACCTTTATTGTTTACCTCACTCCAGCTAAAGCTGGGTTTACACTATGGGAAAATCAACGAGCTGATCAGTTTTCAGCGTTCTATCAACCTCTCTATCAGATGTTCAAAGATTTTGCGTTATCGGCCGCGAGTCGGCAAACGTTTCAACATTTGACCCGCAATGTACGCGCGGGGCGACGTCGATACGAATTTTTGCACGTATTAATTCGCGCCAGCGTGGCGCCGATGGCAAAAAAATCGCTGACAAAAATTTGCAAAAATAGAACATGTTCTAATCTCGCAACTGGTTGAAGGCAGTAGTAGGCAGTTCGCCAGTAGGCACTTCGCCAGTTGCGTGCGAGGCTTTTACGTTTACACTGCCGATTTTCGGTCGAATAATTGACAAATTTATCAGCAAAAAGTTGATTGTATAAATCCATCTTTAGACTGCACTTCCTTCATTATTTTCATTACTTTTCTTTCGTACTATGTATACAGTTTTTTCTCTTGAATAATATCTTGAATAATATACATTTTTTCATTACTTTTCTTTCGTACTATTTATACTGTTTTTTTTCTTGAATAATATCAAGAGCGTATAATGAAGGAGAGCGTACAAATTAACAGTGACATGCTGAAACCATGTTGCAGTATTAGTCGAATTAATAAACTAACACCGCTCATTAACTCAGCGTAGGAGCATCGTAGGGACAAGCGGTTTGTTTTATATTAACAAGGTAGGACAGCTGATCAATAATACCGCAAAGAATCGTCAAAATAAAACAGGCAGTTTCTTAATTCGACTAATACTGCAACATGGTTTCACCATTTCACCGTTGTACGCGCTTCTTCTTTATACGCTCTTGATATTATCCATCAGGAGTAATTAATCTGTGAATAATAATCAGGTGTAAATAATTTGTGATTATTTACTCCTGATAATAGATATACGCTTGTATAGCATAATACACACGCGCGCACCCACCCGCGCGTGCACACGTACGCGTGCGAGGGCACACATCACATACACACCCATACGCATGCACCGACACGGGGGCCGCCCTATAGACCGAAGGGCCGATAGACCGAAGGTCCGATAGACCGAATATTGAAAAGGGACCTATAGACCGAAGGTCCGATAGACCGAATATTGAAAAGGGACCTATAGACATGCGTGCGTGCGTGCGTGCGTGAGTGCGTGCGTGCGTGCGCGCGCGCGTGTTGTAAGCTAACCATACCTGTCGGTTATGACTTCTGACGGTCAAACTGCCGTAAGAGTGCCTGAGAGCACCTAAATGCCAGATCCTTTCCCTTCACCGAAAAGATAAACTTACCTAACTACCGAATAACCTTTGAAATTATCTCAAATATACACGTTTGCAATTGTTCTGGAACTGACAATCGAAATTTCGCGATCGGAGGTATGTTCGTGTAAAGCATGTGATATTTTCAACGTCTCCTTATATGCGTTTCTGGCGTTAAGCTCGTCATCTATCATAGCTCTATGTATAGAGAGAGAGAGAGAGAGAAGGGGAGAGTGAATAACACCCTACCCTCTGTGCCTGTGGGTTACAGCATAGGATAATGACAGACAAACAAACTTCTATCACTCGCGGCACAATTTCCTAATGACAGCTTTATCATGAAGAGGCAGGAAATAGAGAGGTATTGTGTTGGGATGGTGTAGGGTTGCAAGGTAAATGGAGAGATAATGTGGTACGAGAACAATGGGAGTACAATAGGCAGAAACAGAGACAGAGGCAGCGTTATGGCTAGAGGGAAAGGACTGAGACAGACACAAATCCCAGAAACATAGGGAGTTGAGAGAAAGACGCAGAAACAGAGAGATGGAGAGAGGGGTGAAACAGTGTGTGCGTGCGTGCGTGCGTGCGCGCGTGTGCGCGTCTGTGTGTTAGAGGGAGGGTGAGAGAGGTGGAGACATAAAGGTAGATATCTAACATATATAGATATCTAGAATTTCTAGATCTAACAGTATCCCCGTGTGTTGCAGTCACAACAGTCTCGTCATCCACACGAGGTAACGTTGGAGGAACCTGGAGAAAGCAGCACGGATCCGCCACCAGATGGCTCCACCGTCGCAAAGAACCCTTTGTCAGACAACGGCTCAAAAAAGGTGGCTTAATTATTTGGTATAAGGAGGCACGACAGCTATATAAGAGGCATGTCGCCTCACCCAAGCCCGACTCCGTTTTTTCCTTCACCCTATACTCTCTCTCTCTCTCTCTCTCTCTCTCTCTCTCTCTCTCTCTCTCTCTCTCTCGAAAGGATTATTATCATACATTATTATTCAATTTAATTTATTAATAATAATGATAATATATTCGAATAATTAATAAGAGATATAAAATGATTAAATATAATAATAGTAATTGCAATAATTAATAATAATTAATATAGTTGTAAGAGAAGGAGAGCGAGATAGGAGATAGGAGATATGGGAGAGAGAGATGAGAGAGAGAGAGAGAGGAGAGAAAGAGAAAGAAGAGAGCAGAGGAGAGAGAGAGAGAGAGGAGAGAGAGAGAGAGAGAGAGAGAGAGAGAGAGAGAGCGAGAAAGAGAGAGAGAGAGAGAGAGAGAGAGAGAGAAGAGAGAGAGAGAGAGAGAGAAGAGAGAGAGAGAGAGAGAGAGAGAGAGAGAGAGAGAGAGAGAGAGAGGAGGGAG